GTAATAAGCCATAAAAAGTAAAATTTTCCAATAAATTATATGATGTATGATCTTATTATGTATAGAGAAATAATAAATATTTCAGCAGGTAATTAATACATATCCATATTATTGCGTAAAATTTGTGAATTTATTTAATGAATTATTATTCATATAACTTTTTCATATAAATTAAATAATTCTTTGTAAATAAATGAAAGCTTCAGAATGACGTTTGAATGCAATTTTTAGCACTGTCAATAAAAAATATTACGTGCCGATATGAAGATGACCTGAAACTGTCCAAAGATAAGTATCTCATCGAATCAGTTCTAGCTGGTCTCAATATGAATAGGATGACAACAATAGGCGATCAAGATGGTATCTCTTACAGATTGGTAGCCTTTGTATAAATGAACTAGAAGCAAACGAATACGTACAGTTAATAGTGTAAGAAAAGCAACGGTAAATTATATTAATTATATATTTAAAATATTGCAACTACGATAAATGATTAGCAAATAAATTTTGAAGTACTATAATCATATTACATTATAAAATTAATACCTAAAATATTTATAAACATACGTTCATTAAAAAAGACTAATATCTATGTAGAATTATGAAAAGTTATGACATAATAAGCATAATTGACAGAATAAAATTAAAAAGATGAAAATCTTGAAGAGATTAATATAAAATCCAATTAATAGATTAATGTGAAATATGCAATGAGATAATACCATCTATGTGACTCATATTATTAAAAAAAGGATATTAGTAAGCTTGCATTCGAATTTTAATAGCCTTAATAGTTTTAGAAATATGCAAATGATTTACATAGAATATAACTATTATAAACTTTTAATAAACTTGTGCAAAGTACACTAATAAAATTTTTAAATACGAATATCTAGAGGTTCGGTCTGCATATAATAAACGGATAAAAACTTTGAAAATGGACCGAGAGCTTAGTGTTCACTTGTCTAAACTGGACTGGATATCGACCAAGTCCAGGATGGCTGTACTGAGATTTACTGGCACTTTCCTGGCGTCTAATATAACACACTGGATGCGCTTTCTGACTATTCGACTAAAACATTTTGTCAAAAATATTCCTTTTAAACAAGAGCAATTTCAAATGGAATTTACTAAAATTATTGTTTCTTCTTTTCATAATAATATAAAAATCTATAAAACAAAAGGTATATATATATATATATATATATATATATGTGTGTGTGTATATATACATAATTTCTTACTATTATTATGAACTTGGCATTAGCATGAAACATGTAACGTTTTTCTAATAGTTATTTAACTTTTTAGGTAATTATGAAAACAACGCTACTTTATAAACTTCTCGGGAAAATCAAGGAAATCTATGCTATACAGCGCTATCTATCGTCAAAACAGGTTTCCTAGTATTTGAAAAATATGACTGGGTATCGTTGGAAAATCAATACTTCGGATGGTAAGTGAATCATTTTCAAAACGAATCGACTGTCGATATGAATGAACATGGCTTCGAGAAGCCGTCGGTTTGTAAAGTAAAGAACAAATCGCAAAGAAACAATTATATTTTGATCTATTATTATTATATTTTTTGCTATTTCAATCAACGATTCCAACGAAAGTTTCAACAGTTGAGTGTAGTAGATTGTTTATGCGATTATACATAAATTAGAAAATATATTTGTTATAAAAGAACCAACATTTTGAATAATATATTTTAATTTATATTCTTTTATTTTAAGCATTAACATATATACCCATCAGTACTAAACAGAAAATGTTTTTATTATAATATATTTTTTATAATTTTAATATGTTCTATTAATAATAGAATATGAACATGTAGATAGATAGTCTATACATAGATAACATTTATCATCTAAATACATAATGACGCAAATTATATATATTTACATTTTCCGTTGTCTCTTATTAATTAATATTAATTAGATATAATTATAAAATTTTCTAAAGCATAAGTACATGCTGTATAATATTGTATATACATATCCCTGAGCTTTATTCTACAATTTTTATATAATTAACGTATCTTTTCTACCCTGTACATAATAACTTTAGTACATTTTAATAGATTATGTTAATACACTTAATACTGCTCTTTTATATTATATACACATTTACGGTACATGAATAAACAAAAATATGAATATACGAAATCAATAATTATAGTTTCAAATATAAATAATTCTTGAAAATCTATAAAATTATTAATCAATTAGAAATAATTTTCTTGATATTTGTTATCTCATAATTGAAAAGCAGTTTTATTAGTTTCAATTTATCAATATAATTTACATCTGACATAAAATGATGAAACTTATTTGTGTAATTATTAAAGTGAAATGAGATGATAATTAATTCTCGATTATTAAATCGATTATTTACAATATTTCTATCTTTCATATATTCATATAATTTAAATATAAGAAATAGATTTATTCCAATAATCATACTTCATCTGAGAATTTTGTTACCAATTTAAAATAAACTGCATATTTTTTAAATAATGTGAAATAGTCTAACACAAGTCTACAATTATGTAATAATTAATATATCATAATATAAGAATAATAAAATAAAATATATTATATATAATATTTATACAAGACATAGATATATATTGTGAACATACCATTTTCCATAAATTTCTAATATTTTACTTGTATGAAATGAAATTAAAGAGAAAGACGCCAGCAAATATATCCTCATATTAATATTAAAATATTTGATTTTTGTCCTGCTACTTATCATTATTCAAAATGTATTTTAAAAAATAAATAATTGAAATTCTTAAATTTAACAATACTTTTTAAAGTTCCAAATTATAAAATCTTATTACGAATTTGACATAATTAATTTTTTTTTTTTAATACACAGAAATGTTCAATACGTCTTGAAGAATATATTTATAACTTTCCGTAAGCTTCATAATTCTAAATAACGGATTTTATTAATAGTCTTGAATTTTTGTCGATTTTTAATAAAAATTTTCAGCCATTTGCAATATAAAAAAATATAAACAACTAATTAAAAAACAATAGTATAATAATAACAATAATTTAAATATATTCATCTAGTATAGAAATATTTCATTTAATCAGATACTCAGTCTTATTTTTTAATAATTGATTTTGGAAAATTTATTTAAAAATTATTAAATTTAGAGAAAATTCTTACTTAAATTTTTATAACTATTTATTTATTTATTAATATATATTAATTTATATATTAATTTATTTAGGACTTCATATATATATATACAATTATGATATTATTAAATCGAATAAATTTTGTACGATTACATAAATAACGAATATGAATTGCATTTTTCTAGACTCCATTCATTTATAAATAAAATTAAAAAAAAAAACTAAATCTGTAATACATATGCGTCATTTATTATGTATACAAGTACCATTGCATGTATAAACATTCTCGAATTTTTTTTTAACGTAGGTAATAAGATACGCGTAATAAATTATTTACAATTAATATATATCAATTATTAATATTTTATATTTTAATATGTTTTCGTTATTCATAAGAATAAATATTTGCTTTAAAAACTCTTTTATACTCAAATTGTTGTCTTGAAACATGAATAAATTTTCGACTATGAATTTACGCAATTACTATTACAAAAAATGAATTTTACAAACTGATATGCTTTAATTTCATTAATCAATATTATTGATTTTTTAAATTTTCTTGGTTGTTTTAATAATCCGGTTAAAAAATAACAGAATTAATTATACGATTATGTTGAAGATTTTTTTTTAGTAAAAATAATTTTTACACAACTTATTCTGTACAAAATAAATGAATGAATAAAAACATTGGCATGATTATAATCACTTTCAAAATAGATTAATTACACTTTATATCAATTACGTTATTATATGTATTAAAGAAATTTATAAAGTAATTGTACAGTGTTTTTTAAACATAGAAATAAATCGAATTTCGAGATTACATTAATTTAATACTACACTGCTAATCGATTAAATTCTTGATATAATATTAAAATGAATATAGTTATTTAAATTAGGAATTATATAAGCCTAGGAAGTTGATTATTTAACAAATATTTAATACATATTTCAATTTAAAAATATTAAATAATTCAAATTCATTGAATTTATGTAATTATGGGAATAAGATAGTACGAAATGACACTCCATATTAAATACTATGATTATTAAATATATTAATATATTATAATAATAGTAAATCAATATGGATATATTCATATAAATAAATTAATGAAATTCACGGCTATTAGTAATGAGTGATTTTCAAAACTATAACATATATAATTATTGAAATTTCTATAAATCTAATTACTCTCTTTTCAATAAAAATAGCTCATTAATTTAATAGAATTTTTAAACTCATCACATGGATTATTGCGTACATTATACATAAATGAGATCTAAAATTTATTTTAGCAATAGCAATTTAAATTCCTATAATCAATTTTAGGAATATACAAATATAACAAAAATCTATATAACAAATAAATATAACAAATATTTTTAACTTTAAACGTAAATATTTTTAAAATCTAACTACCAAATCTCATCAGTAGACAATCTATTAATATATCGGAATATTAATTATATAAAACAATATATAATTAATCTATTTTAAAATGTATATTTTTATTTTAATACATTTTTTAGTATATGTATCATCTAAATTTTATCTATGAATCAATAAACGTTCTTTTACGTAATGAATTAAATAAATTATGGTGTGAATTCGTATGACAGGATTTTCTATGCAATTTCGTAGATTGAAATTGAATGATTAAAATAAATATCTTGTTAAATATTGCCTATGAAAATTTAGTAGGGACATATTATATATATTACGGACGTTTTAAAAATCGTAGGCGTATGTCTACAATTAATTTCACTGATTTCAACCATAATTTTGAAAGGTTAATTAAAACACGCGCTGAGCGATTCGATAGAGCCTAGATGAGTAACCAACCAATGCCGATTGCATATGCGTATGATGCACGTATATTTCCTTATATGTATGCAAATCTACGAGGACAATCTTCGAACAATAATGGATGATGTTATACAGCAAACAAAATTGGAGACAAACTGAGGAGTAAATTGAATGGCCGCGGAATCAAAATCATCGCCATCATCGATGTTCTCATCCTTAAATAAAGACTCCTCCATCATGCCAGTTGCTGCTTTAGTATTAGAATTATCTTGGCTCCACAGCTTCTTTGAATCTCGCCTCGTGTTTGGTTTTCGTACCGATGCAGGTCTTGAAATTTCTGAAATATTCATAAGTTCATAATTTAAATAAATTGTATTTTATTAAATTGACATGCGTTGGAAAAATTTAGTTCAATAGATTATTTTATGCTAAACAAAATTTTTTAGACACATTAAAAAATAATATACTTTATTTAAATTAAAGAGAACGACATTACTTAACTCTTACTGAACAACTTTCAGGAAACTATAAAAATTTCTATTGCAATTCAAGTGAACTTCGTTACGTTTTACAAAATGCAGCTATTAAGTTCACGATATATTCATTTGTTCTAGGTTTTATTTTTTTTTCTCCGATATATTAAATTGTATACATTCTTAGAAAAAAAAATTATTATTGAATTTTTAACATTCCAGAAAAAAAATTGTATCGTCGGCTTTATAATTATTTAACAGCTTATCGTAATTAATAAATTCCTTTTGTGTGCTATATTTTATTATTTGACTAAATGATATGCATATAAAAATTTTATTAAAAATTGTAATGTTCCAATTAAAATGAATTGTCAATAAATAAATAGCATTATATACTGTATTCAGTGCTTACTGTATGTTGTACCAAAAAAAAATAATTTCATTATCGATGTATATTCAATATCTAAAAATAATTTAATTTTTCATTGTAAGCTTATTGTGATATAAGTATTTGTATAACAATATTAACAAATGATAAATATTTATAAAACGATAATTTATAAAATTAGTGTTGATGGATTTAATATTTTTATTTTAGAATAATGATTTTAATTTTACATATTTTAATTAACAACATACAGCCAAACTTTTGACTACGTAAGGATAAAAATAATATGTATATAATTACTATTTAAATTTGTATAGAATATTTTTAATTATTTAATATAACGGTTATTTTCAATTTCAATTTCTCATATTACAGAAAAAAATTAGTTTCATTAATATATTAAATAATAAAATTCTAATTTAAATTCTTCACTTTTTACAGCAACTCTTGGTTAAATTATTGTATAATTATTCTTTATAAGAAATATTATAATTTTTTAATTAAATTCATTTTTTCACAATATTAATTATGAAGGTTAATTAAGATTTTAATCTAAATTAATTCAAATATGTCGAAATATGAATTAACAATATCATTATAATTATATCATTATATCATTATACACAAATACAATGTAAATAAATAACTATTTATTAATAATATATTTCTCAAAGTACTGGAAATCTTAGATACTTCAAGTTTTTAAATATGAAAAATCCAATAGTTTTCTATTCTTTCTAACCATGTTGCTACATTATCTTGATTTCTGCACAATACGTACATGGAAATTAGTACTTCAAGCCAACAAATGCGGAAAAATGTATAAAAAATAAATATATCACAACTTGGTTGTAATAAAAGTAATTTAACTTTCGATCTGATAAGAAATAAGCAGGATCTTAAAGTGTCGAGCTTCCGTAGCTAAACTAATGCCCCTACAGCTTAAATAAAAAATAATTATCATAAATTACAAAAAATCTATTCGAAAATAATACAAACTAGAATCAATTTCAATTTGAAGATGATAAGTTACTTAGTAACTTTTTTCAATTTAATTCCTAAATAAGCTAAAACTCAATAAATTTATTCCATTTTTTTAAATTAATCAATTTAACAATTTAATTTAGCAATTCGCAATTTATATAAATAATTTGCTTAATTCCATCTGTTCTTACACATGGTTATCTATTACTTTAAAAAACAATATAACTATTAATATTCTTTTAATTTTATCAATTTTTTATGCAATTCGTTAAGTAAATTATTGCAGAATAAATATTGTTCAAGATGTATATTTTATCAACGTGTCACTTAAAAATACAATTGGACTTAAAATCCGTGGAAGTACAATTATTTTCATGGTAAAAAAAACAAAAACAAAATTTGATTAACAAATTTTAATTATCATATAATATAATGATTTAAGATATTAAATTAAAAATGTATTACCAATTCGATTAAGAAATCAGCACCAAACATAATGAACTTCATGTGGAATAAAATATTTTTTATTCGTATGCAAATCATTTAACAATTTTAAAATCTATGCAAAAATGAAAATTTTTTGTTTAATGTAAAATTAGGCCATTAAATTAATAAAACATCACAAGCGATTTACGCAATCATAAATACATTATTGTACGTAAATTATGTCACATTAAATAAATTATATCAATTTGAACTTTAAGAAACCATTAGCAAAGAAAATTTTAAAATCTGAATTCTTAATAGCTTAGATACAAATTTATTCTATTAAATATAATTGAATATATTTAAATTTTTAATGTAATTTATTTATAGTTTAAAGTACAAAAAAAACTTCCGTATGTTTGCAGTAAAATAGCATCAATGTAAAACTCTATTCAAATTTATTTAGATGAAGTACAACCAACCCAGAAATCACGATTATTCGAAGAAGCAAAAAAAAAAATTGATTGTCTGTTGTTATTAGTAATGGAATTTTGTCTATACAATCAACATATTATTTAAACAATGAAGGAATTTCTTTAAAATAAATTATTTTCTTTTATAATATGAATTCCTAAATACTTTAATAGTTTAAGGAATGACTGTACTGTGCTTATTACTCAATAATTAATTTATCTAATTTCATCAACAGCATCATAGTGATTATCGTTTTTGAAAATTTTTGAAAATATATATAATGATTAAAGCATGTTAAATAGAATAGTGAATAAATTTTCAAATAAAATTTTTGAATATTGAAATAAAGAACGGCTATTTCAAAATTATTTTCATATATACAAAATATTATAAGTTACATAACAATCAATTATTGTATTTACAAAATTATTTCCAATACTTTACAATATACTAATATATTGTATTGTATATTTTATTTATATTTTACGTACATAAACTAACATGAATAAAATTATTAAAACTACTATTAAAATATATTACATCAATACATACATAATACTTTTAGAATAAAATGTTTATACTGATTTTTTATGCAAATAAACATTTAAATATTACAAACTCTAGTCTCACAAAGAATTTGGACGAATATATCATTATGAAGTTGCTGTTAATGTGTAATTTAATTAAACAATATGTAATATGTAAATGTAGATAATATTCAAAATATGTTTTAAACTTAAAATCATAAAGAATATTTTATAATATTTTGCGACAGAAGTCTATGAGATAATTTAAAATGATATTTTGTTAATGCTTTTTAAGTTCAATGAAAAAGTTTGATTATTAATAACTCGATAAAGGAGAATGTTAATAAATTTGATAATTAATATGTATATATGTTGAAGATCATTTTGAATGTTTCGTACTATTGAAAATGTATTTTAAATACAATTTTGGAAAATAATATTGTATTAATACGTTTGAAAAATATTACAAGCCATACATATTTGATTAATATTCTATCATCACTTATTGTATTTGCAACTCCTATATAGTTTTTAACTACAAATGATAAATTTTATTTATATAAAATTTATTTGGTTAAATATAGGATTAATTTTAAAATAATATTTCCTATAAAATATTCAACAATTAATTGCAAGAAAACTATTTACGAAACGAGTTTATATAAAAAATTAAACGTAGTTTAAACCATTTCTATCAGAGATAATTCAACATATTAAATAAGTACGTATTTGTTATTATCTATAAATTTAGTGCTTTATTGCAATTTCCTAAATATTCATTTCATTTTCACGTTTTATATATCCGTCTAAAATAGAGAAGGAAAAAACATTTATGTGGGCAAGTCTGTCAATGAAATAGAAAGATAGAGAACAAACTGGTGGTACTAATTGGAGACTTGCACGTCCAATTAAACTATTCGCCAACCAGAGCATGTATAGTCTTCCATTCTCAATGACGATAAAGAACAAACGTATAAGGGCACTTTGAGGGCCTTTATGAAAGTCGAAAAGCCGATTAAAGCTATTTGATACAATGCGTTCGCATAAAAGCTCCCAGACTTTACTCTACACGCATGAATGTATTTCTACATATTGACCAAAGTCCATAGTTTCGCTTTGACTTCTTCTTCAGTCCTATGGCTTATAATACGCACTTTCAATGCGTAGAAATTTAATAACTTGGAGCTTTCCATTGATGATTTCGCATTTATATTCATGTACGGTATTGAAAATTGAAAACTACTATAACGATGATCTCTGACCAAGCATATTCTGCATTTATCTTTACAAAGAGTTCTGAACACAAGCAGTGCGAACCATTCATAAATCAGAATTTTCAAAATTGTAGCATCCATTGGAAATATCTCACTGAACTTCAATAAGTAAAAATTGATATTATAAATACACTACTGATATTTTATATGAACAAATAGCTTACGTGTATACGTAGTGAATATATAACCTTACGATATACTCATCACTTTTGCTCTTGTTTAATTAATTATTTGTATTATATAAACAATTAATAGTTTTGAAATTTTTAAGAAACGTCTAAATTGCTATAAAAAGATAATATTCTAAAAGAAAAAAAGAAATTGAAACGAAGTTGGTTATTGCAGAATCTTTCTTTTATTATTGTATTATCGTAAAACTTTAAATTCAAATACATAGTCAATTGTCGCATTAAATTTACAAAGATATTATTTATAGTCATGTATTTGTACTGGACAATTGAATTAAATATTATTAAATAATGAAAGCAATAACATTTATATTCATTTAATTGGGATATTTAAATTTATAAATTTAACCAAAGATATTACAGGCATGAAAATTATGATTCTATAAAGTAACATTTTATGTTAATTTTATATTCGTGGATCCATAATGATTCAAATAACATTTTGAAATACATCGGTCGATCTGCGAACTTATTTTTACATTTCGCTTAATACCTATTAGACCTGATATAAAGCTTTGTCCACTCACAGCCACTTCAATAAAATACATTTTAATTCATTAACATTAAATTGATTGTAATATCAAAGGAAATAGCGCCCAAATCCAACGGATATAACATCCAAATCATCATATCAACGTGCATCAAAAAGTCTTTCTTACACATCGATATTTTTAGTTTAACAAATCGTACGTACCACGTAATCCGTTTGACTATTTTTTTTTTTTTTTTTTTTTTTTTTTAATGCGTTATAAGGTGAAATCTTGTATACACATTAAGACAATCGCCGTCGCCGTAGCATAAGTAGAATAATCCATAGTTTTACAATCCTGGCCATGATATACTATTGCAACGAACGCTTAAATAGTAAGAGCAGGATATGTTGTAACGTTTATATTAGTCAAAAGCTTCGCACGACCGCACAGCTAACAAAACTCTTTGGGTCAAATATAACGCAGAGGCATTCTCAACATCTAGCTCCAGAAGCCGAAAGCTTCGAATGGCGAAAGCTTACCGCACAGGAATGCGCGCTTACATACATGCATCACTTACACACGCCTTGGCCCATGCACACGAGACCGGGTAGTGAACGGGAGTAGTACGAGTCCGACGGTGGCCAGGCAACCAGCCCTACTTCGTAGGAAGCACGCAAACGATCGTATTTCATGGAGCGTCGTAACGACCCGCGTAAGCCTATTCGAATCGAAGGGAGTGCGGGTGATTTGCATTGTACATCGCATCCTGGCGGAAATACTTTCAACTGACTATTTCTATTTCGATTCTGGCACATAGGACGCAATGATATCTACTGCACCGTCAGTTCGTACGCGTATGTGATATTTCTATTACATATTCCATCTGGCCTCCAAGCTTGAACTCGTAAACGTTCCTTTTAATGTGCTAATATGAGAAAGAAGAATAGTTAGCTTAATGGCTATGATCCGCAGCTTTAAATTAGTTATACTGTGTTACAGTTTTGCACCACCAAGCTGTTATGTCGTTTTCTGGATTTTACAACACATTTACGCACGTGAATGTAGACGTTATTAGTTATTTGTAAAATCTGTATGATTTATCATACTGAAAATATTATAATATTTTCCTTTCTCAGCATTGCTGTATGTTTAAAATATATTTGACATTTTTTACTGTCAAATTACATCACATTTATAACTTCGACAAGTTCAATAAATATCGTTTACGCACGATTTCCTTTATGATAAATATTAAGTTCACATGAATACTATATATTTCACTCAATCACACAATTATGTATTTTAATTATTATTTTGTTAAACTAAACTCTAACCAATGACAAACACTTTCACTCTTTTTTAGTATAAACTCATTTTATAAGATTACAAATTTATAATACTCTGCCAATAATAATAAATCAATTAAAATACGTATCTATGATATTACATTTTTCTTCTTTAATATACTACAATTTCAATAAGAAATAATTGCAAGAAATAAATTTGTAAAACAAATTAATTGTTATAATTTAATTTCTAAAAATATATATTAGTAAAGGAGTTTTTTTTCCTTTTTTATGTCCAGTAGAATTTCAATTTTTAATTCCTACCATTCCGTTATTACAGTATTTTAAACAAATATATTTTTAAAAATATTTTGTAAAATTTTTATTATTTCTAAAGTTTTACAACGTTATACACTTCGATGACTATTGAAAATTACTGAGCAAAAACGATAGTATTATGAAACAAAAATTTCGACTATTTATATCTCATTCGTCGAATTCATCAACCCATTCGTGTATGTCCTATATAGTCGTTCCAAGTAATTATACCGAATACTATCAAAATTAAAACATAAATTGTACAAATAATCTATAACTAAATTCTTACTTTTAATATTTATTCTGACTTCAATATAAAAACTAGAAAATTCAAATTTATTACTGATTAACGTAGCTATAATTTTATTCCCGTAAGAATTATTATTGGTATAGAAGCAATTAATAATTGCATCCAAACGTTTTACAAAGTCACAGAATAATATCGTATATTAGTGAAACTACAAAATTAATCTAATTTAAATTTTCTATTAATTCAGGACTTTAATGTAGGTTTCATATGTAATCCCATATGTAATGCATTATGGGATAAAGAGTTTTTTGCCTTTATATCGGAATTTTACATCAGCTATTTTTAAGTTAAACCTATTAGCAAAAGAGAAATCGTATAACACATCGCGATGCTAATTAAATGAAAAATAACTCATTATAACAAAATTTGTTTTATAATCTTAAAAATTAAGTACACAAAATTTTAATATTATAAAAAATTTTATGCGTATAGAATCTATTATTTTGTATTATTTTGTATTTTATAACTAATTCGAGCGCAAAAAAAATCTTATTATAAATTAAACGATGGATCTTATAATTCACAATTCTTTTAAACGAGTGTTTATCGTACATTGCGTTTGATTTGTTTTAATATAAAGAAATGTTTAGTTTTAAACAGAGTACTCTTTGATTAAATAAATTTGGAGATGGAATTTCACAAACTCAATAAATAGAAATATTTTTCTAAAAGATAGAAGAATGTATTTTCAAATAAAATAACATCTTCCATTTTATAATATATTTCATAATATATTTAGAATTTCAATTTACTTAAATAGTGTGTTTCTAACAAATTTTAAATGATATTCTTATAGGAAAAAATTAAGTATCCGTATATTTATAATTTACAGTTTATACTTCCAAATAAATTATAAACAAGAAAAGTTTTTAATACATAAATGTATTTAACAATTAAAATGAAAGGTATGCATAGTTTTAATTGATCTCGATTAATTAATCAATTGACAAATATATTATTGAAATATTTAAACAATTATTAACAGAACTAGTATTACATAATGACATAAATCTAAAGATTCGATTGATTATACCACAATAGACGATGTTGATTTAGAGTTCCAACTACCTTTTTAATTAATATATTAATTTTATTGTATATGATAATTAGTTAGAACTTTGCTATTACTTAGTAACAAATTTATCCTATTTTCAAAATGAATATTACATAATCAATAGTTTTGAAATTTATAAAATTAATATAAGCATATCTAAATATATATATATATATATATATATATATATAAGCTAAATAACTTATAATTAATTGTCTCATATTCTAATAATGTTAACAAAAGTATTTTCGTAATTCCAAATTAACATAATAACCTACTTAAATATATAAAAAATATTATTAGATTTTTCATACTCATTATAAATAATATACAGACTATTTAGTTATATTCTATATTTATCTGCTTCGTGACTGCTTGATTATATAATATCATATATTAGTCTGTACATCGACCTAATTACATAACTATTTATTTTCGTATATATTTTTCAAATGGATATGTTGAAGGAAAATTTCCTATGCTCGATCGTAGTGAGCCCCTGAATATATATTAATATTCAAAATTAACAGTGTTTCATTAATTTATTTAGATCAATATTAATAAATACTTCATTATGAAAGAAATAAGTCATGAAGATATATAATTTTATGTCATACATATAAGTTTTCTTGGTTCTCTCTAAAATTACTTAAATATAATCAATCAATAAAAATATAAAATGAGTGAATATTAATTAATATTAGATAAAAGTTGAGTATTATAAAAGTATATAATTAAGAAATAACAACAACTGCTGCATATATATTTTAAAAAGTAAAGACTTCTAAAACATTTTTACTAATAACAAGGTAAATTTTTTAACTTAAATGTTATGATTTAATGCTTAACAAAAGAAAGTTTTAATTAAAAAATTTTATAAAATACATATATATACTTACTATATAATTTGATTTTTCCATCGGTTTCTCCTAGTGAATTTGTCGCTATGCAGCGGAAAGGTCCAAAGTCCTGAGGTCGGACTGATTTAATCGTAAGTTTCATCACCGTCTCGTAATTTGACGTAAAACCCTCGACTTTATAGTGACCATCTTAAAATTTGAGAAAGAATAAAATAAATATTTTAAATTCTTAAGTTATCGGAAATAATTTTACAGTTTTTTATTATTTACAAGTTTATGCGAATTTCAAAATACTATATTGACATTTTCAAAAGTACACAGAGTTAGTTATCGTCGAAGATATAAGCAAGAAATTTTTCTACTTTATGAATATTTTCTTCCCAGTCCTAATATTATTATAAAAATTTGTATACTTGAATATTTGTAATTGCCAGAATTGAAATATTGCATTAACAATTATTGTAAAATAATTATGATTTCAAAAAAATCCTAATATTACGATATACACATATATTGTATTATTATTAATTTTGGTTATTATTTTGGTTTCTGAATTAACAGAATAATTTATTCATTTAAAAATTATGATTAATTTACTTTAAATTTGTAAATCATGAAGAATCATTATATGAGTTCTTGTACATTTTTTATATAAAGTACGTCAATGGAAAAATAAGGAAAAAATTGATTGCTAATGAATTCATTAAATAGTAGAGTAATTTTTTGATTTACCACTTTATTAATGTGAGATTCATATAATATTCTCACATCTGTGTAATAAAAATATCGGCATACATTTTACTGTCTTACTTAGTCTGGATCAATACTAAATTTAATTTTATTTATATAATTTCCAGTAATATCATTTTTAAAGTATGTTTTGTTATCATAAAAGATTTAATTTTTGATATGACAGTCGTTTCATTATATATTCAACATTATTTAACCTCTTTTCTCCAATAAGATTTTTAATTCCTTACAATATAATATATTACCGTTATTTATTGTTTCGTTCGAAGGGGTTGTCCAATATGTAATCGGTCTGGGATATGCTTCGCTATGACATTCCAATATTAATGTTTGTCCATCGTATGCACCGACTAGCTGATTTTCAATTCGGATCATAGGCGGAACTAATGAAATAAAGTGCAATGATTAAATATATTTCAAGGATGTTGGTCTAGCAATGAAGAAATAAAGCATTATTAGTGGTCATAATGGCACAATAAAGCAATAGGATCGATTTTCTCGAATTATTAGCTTGGCATTTACATACATTGAAAGAGATAAGCGTGCTCGTGTTAACTATCTATGGCCGGAGAAAGTAGGAAATCCTATGACGAACTTGCCAGAAACCATCGACAATAGTTCTCAACGAGAGTATAATTGGAGCATACGTGGAAATCCGGAGACCCAGAGATTTTAACTAAAAGCGAGGTAACCGAATGTATAAAGCCCCGAGAAACTCATACAATGAGCTTAACTGCACATTTAAAAACAATTTGTGTAGAGGTTTCAAGAATGCATACATAGAAGCGCCCGCTTTCTTTTAAGTGGGGTTATTATACGGCCCAGTCGATATAGGGTAGGAGAAGTGGCGAATTAAATTAAGTCTGCGTTAAATTATGTGCATTCATGCAAAAGTCTCTTCCTGAAACTTTAAAGGCAACTTTTTCATATTAAATTCACATTGTGTGTAGTCGATTGACAAGAATGAAAGAAAGTTCGGATAGCCGAATGCATAAGGAAAGAGCACTAATCTAAGCGTATTAACGGCAAACAAGATAGGTAGATACAAGAAAGACAGATCGATAGACGTTGAGAGAGAGAGAGAGAGAGAGAGAGAGAGAGAGAGA